TGTTCATAGCCTCCAATTTGCATCATAATAAAATACGATTGTATCTACCAATTCTGAGAAAAAAAAATCGAAAAATTGGAATTAAAAAAAAAATCGCATTTTTTTTCGCCAATATATTATGTGTGTGGAAATCAAAACTCAAGTCAATCCAACAAAAATCCTGGTAAGGGGACTATTTTAAAAATTTTATGTCTGTATGACACACCGTCATTGGTAAAAAATGAAACTTTATTTTTGCTCATTTTTCAAGTATCTAAAATATAATAAATCTGATGCTCATTCTTTGACTGTGATTCACGCAAAAACGACTGAATGGATTTCAATGGTATTTTTACTGTTATATAGTTTAGGGTTCCCAATCGGCTTTAGGCTATTAATTATTGCGCTACTGTGCATAGTTTAGTATGCACCATAGAAAGGTCTAGAAAATTGTAGAACTTTCTGGAAAATTCTAGAATATTCTTCTCGAAAATTCTAGAATATTTTCTGGAAAATTCTAGAATATTCTTCTAGAGTTTTCTAGACTATTTTTGAGATTTCTACACAGTTTGAGGGATTCTCAGGTTTTATAGAAAAAATTCTCCGGTTTTCTGAATAATTGGAAGGAATTCTCCGGTTTTCGAAAAAATTCGAGAATATTCTTGGGTTTTCTAATTAATTTTTTTATTGTTCTAATTAAGCAATTCAATTTTAAATTCTGATTGACTAGGTGTGTGAGCAGAAGAAGAGAAAATTGAATACCAGGATTTTTGAGAATTCCTGCAATTAAAAAGAACACCTCAATATGTTTTCCACCGACGTCGGTGGCCGAAGCGGCTAGGTGCAAGCCTAGTGTGCGAAAGGTTGTGAGTTCGATTCCCCGTGGAACCGAGTTTTTCAACCGGAGGCTCCGGCGAGCGGGAGGTCGCTAATATAGTGACCGCCTGTACCGGCATGCGTTTTCTGTGGTTTCCCATGCTACTCCTATGTTCTATAGGAGTGCGAATGCGGTGCAGTGTAGAATCCACAGCCGCATGCATAGGGTTGGATAGGGCCGATTAGCCAATCAGAGGGCAGAAAGGGCCGGAAAATAGAAAAAAAAATGTTTTCCACTTTTCTAGAACACCCGAGAAGTCTAGAAAATTTAAGGGTTTTCCAAAGAAATGAGAAAATTCTCGGGTGCTCCAGAAAAGTCTCTAGCATTGAGGTGTTTTTTTTTTAAATTGCAGGAATTATCAAAAATCTTGATACCTATTCAATTTTCTTCTATTCTGCCCGGGCGAAGTCGGGCCACACAGCTAGTAAAAAATAAGTACCAAAGCCATCTGTATGATAAAGACAACCCCCTACAACTTTCAAATTTCGCCGCGGTCTCCCTTTAATTTTAGAAAATTTTAGAATCTAGAATCTAGACCATCGGCTCTGATTTTTCACATTAACAGAATATTCTATCAAAGCATGATTTATCATTTATATAGATAAAAGTCTCCCTTGAAATTCCTACATTGCCGTTCTGCGCAGCTACGATTCTCAGAGGAAGTCCTTTCTTTCCTCTCGCGATAAAGCCCTTATCAAACTGTTCTCCATCCACCCGTTCATACTATCGAGTTTAAACACTAGCTAGATTTATAGCTAACAATACTCCTGCACTAGAGAGAGAAAAAATCATGTCAAGCACTTTTGACGGCACGTGTATCGACCTCGCTGGTGACAGTGAATCGCCCTGGTAAAACAGTCCGATTATTTCCAACTGGGTGATAAAAAATGAATCGGCGTTAATGATGTTTCTGTCTTTGCCCGTTAAATTGCGATTGGCTGGTAGATAGAGTTTGGAGTTTGAGAAAATTATGAGAATTAATAGGATCAAGGGTATGTGGCCGTTATCGTCCGATTACTTTCCAAAAAAGTGGTTGATAGATCTCATATTGCTCACGTAAATCTTTAATATTTATTGCTCATTTAAATATTTATGTGCATAATATATGGAATCTATCAACCACTTGTTTAGAAAGTAGTCGGACGATAACGGCCACATACCCTTGTTACCACTAATTCTCATAATTTTCTCAAACTCCAAACTCTACCTACCAGCCAATCGGAATTTAACGGGCAAAGATAGAAACATCATTAACGCCGATTCATTTTTTATCATCCAGTCGGAAATAATCGGACTGTTTCACCAGGGGGAGTTTACATGTTGGCATATCGTACCAAGGGCTTAACATGATAATAAAGTTTTTGATACAACAGTTGATTATTTGGAAACACTGCAGTGCAACAGGAGATAAATTTATGAAGGGCGGAGAGGAGATACCCCTCGAGATTTCGGCAGTAGAATCAGGGTTACGTATCCTGTTTACAGATAGCCTGTTTCAGTCTGCTGACTGCATTGCACTTTGTCACAATAGATGGGCGGGACTCCACGCACGCAACAATTTAATAGAAAAACCTAGCGAATTCGTTAGAAAATTCGATTGGAATTCTATTGAACTTTCATTCAATAAGTGAATTTATCTCATTCATTTATTCATTGTTTTAGCTTACATAGCTGTTTACAACGGAGATTGGAGTCAGACAATCATTTACATGGTTTTGAACATAGCAACCGAGTACATAAGTTGTTTACCAGTTATAATCACTGTTTTCGAATACAAGGGTTAAGTTTTCTCCTCATATTTTTTTCTATTTATGTTCTTATTTTTTAATACAATCCACATGTGTTGACGTTTTTTATGCTTCTATTGAACTTTCTATTAATTTTTGGTCGATTCTATGGAAATTTTAAATAGAACATATTCCATAGAAAAGGCCAATAGAATTTGATTCTTCTATATAGCTTAGTCTATATTGAGATATTTTCTGTAGAATTTCTTTGGCTTAAATTTTCTTTTTTTTTGTTTGATTTTATTGACGAGAAGAAAAGAAAAATGAAATGAAAAAACATTAGAAAATTTGAGTCAAGGAAATTATATAGAATATATATTGACTTTTTCTATTGAATTTTTCGCTTGAACATGTCAATAGACTAGGTCAAAAACTAACAGAAAGTTCAATAGAAATCCAATAGAATTTTCTAACAAATTGGCTATGTTTGCTATTAAATTTTTTCATCCGTGTCTAGCGGTGATTTCTACTCTTCGATCTCCGCCTCCGAGATAATTTTCAAAATTCCCTAGACTTTTATATAAAAATCTAGGCCTCAACCAACAATAACTCGATATGAAATCAGTATCTACTGTCAATGATTACAATAAAGCGATTTCCAGTGAAACGATTTGATCACCTCAAACACACGTTAGTCCATTGATATTTTTCTTTTATGAATTTTTTAAAAATAAGAGGTGAGTCGTCATCGGTAATGGTGCCTTCTGCTGAAGCTGAGTAATAGCATAACGTGACTCGCATCGAACCCGTTCAATGATGCTTGAAGACATGTATTCGACCGCATACTCCCGTGATCTTGGAATGAATGTGTAGATGTGCGAGGGAGTTTTTAGACGAAAATGATAGAGTTTTTTCATCTCAAGTTTATAGACATTTGCAACCATCTAGATTAAACGGAAAATAACATCGATCGATAATTATGATACATTCTCAGAATTTTATAGATGTTTTAACAAACAAGTTCTATACAGAGAAGGAAAAATATTCATTGATCAAGAATTTTATATTGTTTCTAGGATTTTTGAGTCGATGAATGAATAAATTAGCGACTTGAAGATATCCAAGTACTTTAATTTCTTTTCTTATATTATTGAATTCCTTCTTTACACTTGTAGTCAGACATCAAATTTTGGAATATTTCTAATGTTTTGCTTGTTTTAAGTTTAATTTGGATTTCCTAATGTTTAAGCATTGGAAAACATTTGATAAATCAGGAAGAAAAGAAATCTATTTTTCAGTGATGATTCATTGAAAAATTCGAAAAATTCCTAATATTGAACATTGAGAACTATTCCAAGGATAATGCCTGAACGATCAGTTTTGTCAATAATAAATCGTTTGTATACATTCGTAATAGATTCATTCATATTCAAAACGATTCCATCGAGAAAAGTCAAATTTTTTTTAGAGTTTCAACCAATTTTTTTTATTTATTTTTCGAGATCGAAATATTTGGAAAAAACTACTGGGTTATCTAATTTAATTTAGATGATTTTTTCCATAAATTCAATTAAAATAAACATTTAACTTGATATGTCAATGAAAATAACTGGAATTTATGGTCATTTTCGCGATTTCTCAATGCCGACAATTCAATGGCAAAAACAATCTAATATTACAAAGTTATCAATTGATATGTGAAATAATTATCAAACAAATTCTCAAGACTATAGCATGGAAACTGCACTCGTATTGTCTCAAGATAATTTTCCGTTAATCCAAAAATAAGGATTTCTGACGCAGAAATAAAATACTCTTAAATGAACACTTCATCCTTAATACAAAAATTTTCGTACTTGTAATTCCAGACGTACTACATTCTCGACCCAACAATTATCGCTCTACGCACCTTATCCATTTCGAAATCTACTGAACTGAAAAGTGTGCCTAATAAGCGTTAAAAAGTCGTACAAAATGTCTTGCAGCACTCATTGGGAAACTCCGATCTGCCCGCAAATGACATTTTAATTATCTGCAATTCTACCGATGCCTTCCTTCTCCGTAAATCGCCATGATCTTCACAACGAAGCAGATCTTCTATCGAACAGATATTTAAAACTCTGAGTCATCGTATGTTGTGCTTACGATGTTTAAACACTTGGCGTGAAAAAAAATCAAAGGGCGATGCGATCGCCGCGAGAATTCCCAGATGAGTAAACGTGCGTGTTATGTGTACTCCGCGCTCATTTCTGGCAAGGCCAGCGGAGGGACGGGTCTACCAATGAGGCCCCACTCCACAGGTGAGAGCGACGAGATAGTGATTCAATGAAATACCACGTGATACCTTCCACGGTTGCAGTAGATTGACAGCACCTCAAACTTCTGACTTGTTTTAATAAAAAAAACATAAGACTCACCTGTGCACTGAGATAAAACGAGGAAAATGGGGAGACTTTTCAGTACAGAATTCATCTTCCCGCACTTCACTTGCACTAAAATTCTATGAAAACATCCACATGTTCAGGCAGTCATTACACAAATATTTGGATTATTTTTACACGCGTGGGGAGGTGAATGGGTTCACTGTGGTTTTAGTCAAAGAGTTGTTCACCATTACGCGGTAGAATGCTCACTGCTTCTTGGTGTGTGCAGCACGCTCAGCTAGCAGACGATGTTGAAGAGGGTGGGGTTCGTGAATGCTGGCTTGGAGGAGGAAACTACGTCACTGGATGTATACCGGTAAAAGTTTCATAGTGGGTTACTCATGCCGACTTGTGGCTTTCGGAGACCGGTTATGCCGGTGCTCTCACGGAAGCGTGACTGAATAGCTGGGGTTCTTATCGGATTCGGATAGTCAGTGGGATTTCGGAGAATTGAGGGGAAGGGGGTGAAAAAGTTCGGGATTACAGTGATAGGGACTCATTGAGATTCGCTGACAAGTGCATTGAAAGAAAAAATTACTTTTGACAAAGATGACTTCCGTGGCACAAGAAAATATTCTCTTGTCAATTTCTAGAATCGTGAAATCTCCTGGTAAATAATCTTGTGCTCAGAATGAGAGACAGAAGTCTTTCTACAGGATGAGATTCTCTTGTCCCGAGATAATTTTGAAGTGTTAGCATAAGTCTTCCCATAAATTCATATAGTTGGCGTTATGTCTAGAATTTGAAAGATAATGAAAATTCCCAGTTTGCCGATCTGATCACTCATCTCCAACTGAGGAATTCTCGTTTCGATACTACTACTACTTACACCCGAAATCACGGTGCCACTCTAACATAAAATCATTCTGAAATTACTCTAAAATCACGTGAAATCCCCGAAATCACTGAAATCAACGGATTTCAGGTCTCCGAAATCGTCTCTGAAAACACGTGAAATCGTCTGAAATCAATGAAATCACCGAAATCGGTAGCGCACTGGCGTAGTACGAACCGTGCAAGTAATTCGTGATTTTAAAATTGACACGCCTGTTAACAATAATAATAAAATGCCGTACTCACTGTCATAATGAAACGGTAAAATGGACCGCTTTTCATCGTCATTAGCTCAAGATTGGTGGAGTGAAATGAAACGACTTCGTTATTATTTGCCAGTTATTATTGCTAGTTTTGATTTTCATAATTGACGCAACCCGTTTTGCCCCACATCGATTATTTATTAACTTTATTTTTCTAAAATCACTGATTTCCAATTAATGAAATCATTCGAAATCATGGAATCACCTCCCGTGACGCTCCAAATCAGCGAAATCATTTTTTCCGAAATCACTGAAATCACCCGAAATCTACTTCAATTCGAAATCATGGTGTCACTCAATTATGGAGTGAGTAGCTCCTCGGCATGACAAACACTTTTATTATCAATGCAAGTATTTAGAAAATTGATCTTAAGGGTTGTGCTCTTCATGCAAAATTTTATGTAAGTCCTGATGTAAAAAAATTCCAGATATAATGCAATCTTCATGAATTTATGGGAAGAACATCATTTCTACTCTTGAGAACACTTTAACATTCTGTCGAGACAAGAGAACGTCTGAGAACGAAATTATTTACCAGGAGAATTCACGATTTTTTAAATTGACAAGAGAATACTGTCTTATATGAAGTAACCTTCTTTGTCAAAAGTAGTTTGTTCTCTCAGTGTACATATAGTAAAATATACAAGATAGAATATTCTCGCTTGGAATATTTTCCAAATAAGGAATACTGGGATTCTACAGGAAGGAATATTTTCACGGGGGCGCGGGTGTGGAGGGTTGGCGGGAGAATATTCCTTGTGGAAATTCAATTTTTCGAACGTTATTCCATGTTGGAGAGTCCACTGTGTACAGCGAGGTGTACAGTACAAAATTCTGAGTGAATTTCGATTCTGAGTCCACACCAAAAGGAGTGAAAACAAATCCATACCGTTTTTCGGTATGAATGCACGGAGTACAGTCCAGTCGTTATACAAGACACAATGCCTGAATCCGAGCCGAGTGATATCCCCAGTTTCTGGTTTAAATGTTTTCGTCACTAGGCCCGATACACCGCGATTTTAACCTCGTTTCGCTCGGTTAAATCGCGCTTTTCGGGCCTATTGACAAAGAATATTGTTCGACACGCGGCCGTGGGAACTTTTCTACCTCATATGATTACAGAACTCGCCTTCGGCTCGTCCGGTAATCTCATATTTGCCAGAAAAGTTCCTCACGGCCTAGTGTCGAAATGTACTATCGGTTATCTATTTCGACTAAAATTTAGAGAGAAAAAATCCCGATCCGCCCAGCCGGGATTTGAACCCGGGTCTCCCAGTTACGCACGTGAGGAACTTTTCTGGCGAAATTAGTACATTTCGAGTACATGAAGTTACAGGAGAGCCGAAGGCGAGTTCTGTAATCATATGAGGTAGAAAAGTTTCCACGGCCTAGTGTCGAACAATATTTTTTCTCCTCGCTTCACTCGGTTAAATCGCGGTTTTCGAGCCTAACGACGAAACGTACTATTTTCGTTTCATACTCTCCGTACAAGATACTCGGCAAAAAGGCTGAGGCATTTGCAAATAAATGAGGGTGTCAAGTTTTGCAGGTTAAAAAATCCCGTACGCTTGCCCGAGGGATGTTTCGGTAAAACTTGGCACGATCGTTTGTTTGCAAGGAAGCTTGAGGAAAATACGCGATTAATTTTGAAGCTCGAGGGGTATTTGTCGGATTATTTTTCTCAATTGGATTTCGGTCAATCAGAGTACAGTGGACAACATCAGGAAGTGAATTAGGGAAAATTTGAACAAATTATGTTAATAGAATGACCCGATTTCTGTAGAGTGTTGAATATAAGATTCGTTCTGAAATGAGCCGCAAAAATGAAGAACTATAGCGAAATCTCCAAAAGCTAGGAGGAAATATCCGTAAGTAATACCACAAGAGCTTCAAAATTATCAGGTATTTCCCGATAGGTTCGTTGCAAACAAACGAAGGAGTCAAGTTTTTCCTGAAAAACTTGACGAGTTCGTTTGTATGCAGGGAACCTTGAGGGAAATACCTGATTAATGTTGACGCTCGAGTGGCATTTAAAGGGGAATTTTTCCATCCAAATTTCGGCCAAGAGGATTGCACTATGAGACAAATTCCATCTGTCAGTTCCAACGAAGGGTTCAATCGACCGGTAAATCTTTTGTTTTTCATAGACATGAAGGCAACGTGAAAAATTACCAGTTGAATTATCAAAATTATCAGTTGAATACCGTATTGACTATATAAAATAACCTGGAAAATAACAGTCGTTAGTGCAGTCCTATTGGCTGAAATTTGGATGGAAAAAATTCCCGAAATAAAATTATCGGGTATACTGACAAATAAAATTAATTTTATCAAAAGAATTTTATTTGAACTAAGTATCAATTGGTTTTCAATTTTCAAATAAACATAATTTCATAGTGAATACCAGTTCTCTCTTCTTGGGATACGTTAGATTGGGAGAAATCGAACTTTAGAATTCTAGAACTCTAGAATTAAAGTTCTTTTTATTTGTCGCAATAATGAGAGTATTTGATTTCTTTCTAGCCAAAAGTTTGCTAACTCCAGAAATTCGTTGGTTTACTCAAAAATCGAAATTATTCCCATGACTAAATACGTTGTTATCTCAATCAACACGATCATACGTTGTTCCAAGTAAATTATAATTGAAGTCAGCATTTCGTATGTCGAATCAGGATGAATATTATTGCGCGGAAAAAGCTTTGAGATTGTAGTAAGATGTCTTTGACTTGAACAAAGTTTATCTTTCTTGACTAAAAAAAAATCGCATTAGTTTGCAATAACAGAATCACAGATTACGGCAATTCAACACAAACTTGGATATCACAAATTTCATTCAATGTGATGTACGGAAAGAGCAATTTAAACATCAGCTTCGTTCGCGAACACAACATTCAATTCATTCCTCAATGTAATCATCTCCTGGGTACGAATTTTTATCAATTCATGAAAGTCGAAAATTTTTCGACTGGAGATTATATTAGATGAAAAAAGTAGAACTTTTACGTTTTTGTGACGAATACATGTGACTTGACGCCAAGGACTATTTTATTTGATTCAAGTAAATGTATCTCAAGAAGAAATAATTGACATTCGTCGGAAGGTCTTATTTATTTGAAATTGGTTCAAGTATATAATACTTATTCCAAGAAGGAAATATCTCAATAAGAATAATTTTTTCTATCAGTGTAGCCTCAAATACTGTGCTCTGATTGGCCGAAATCCGATTGGGAAACATAATCCACTATTTTTAATTCTATGGACGAGAGGCAAGAGTCACACAAATTTTCCTTTCAGCTTTGGAAATTTCGTATGAATTCTGTACTGCTAATAGCCAATTGAGTTGAAATTTTCTATTCGCTTATTTTCAGAACTTACGTAAAGTTAGATTTATGCAGTTGTAGAATATAGTTTAAGGCAAGTGGGAGTCAATCGTTGGAATTCAAATACACATTTTTTTTTTAAATAATGAATTCGGTTGGTATATTGTAGTAGACTGAATATTAATAATACATTTGGTGTTCAGATAAAAGAAAACAATATAAATGCATGTATATAATATGGATCATTAGCAAGTGCTCTCGCGAAGTGCTCTGGGCGAACTGAACTGTTCGCCACATCCCGGTGCAGGTTTCAGACTATCTTTCGTCATTTGTTTAGTCTGGCCTGATTCCTGGTAGGATTCCATGATTTGCGTCTCATCAATACGATATTGGTACGAATTGCATCTCATTTTTTTCGTAACACAGTGATGTTTATACAATTGGCTGATTTGTGTCAAGACAGTATTTTTGGAAGGAATTGGGGAAGTGTGAGAAGTCATATAGAAGATGAAGGACAACTGAATGTTCTATACTATACTACATGGTATATTTTCAAATCAATCAATTGTTCGCATTACTTTTTATCAAATTAATGAATCCGAGCGATCCACGAATAGAAGCTGTCACACATACGATACGTTCTGCTCCCCTTGACGGCCTTCAACGTATCCGATATCGTTTGAGTTGAGATAACTCTCGTAAATCATCACGGAGAAATTCCGAATGACATAGGTTTGGATTCACGTGTGAGAAACTTCTATTACGCTAGAGCAATTTCTATAATATAATCTTATGCACGGAGAGAAAAATTCAATAAAAATTACTAGAACAAAAATGTAAAAATTACGTTTCGAAACGTAATTCGCGAGTGAAGTACAATTCAATAAAAAGTGGTGGAACTGAAACTGTACGAATTGCCATGTAAATTCTATGATTTGTTCCGTAAAAATTGACCACCCGTCTGATGACTCACCGCTGTGGGGGCAACAAGTCGTTCCGTAATTTTTCCACAATGATTGAGAAATTTTACGGAACGGAATATAGACATAACTCGCCAGCTTCATAAAAATTGTTGAACGTTTAAGAATTTTTTATTTTGGAGGAATAATAAGTCGGCAAGTTTCTGTACGATTTTACTTCTACGGCAAAAATTATGTGACAATTTCGTACTTTGTTCGGTGATGAACCTAAAAACTCACTGAACGTTTCAGATTTCTTCTCTTTCATTCATATAAAAATTGCCGGAAACCGATTCCCCATTGCGGATTATGTGAATTGTTCCGTAATTTTTACTGAATATTTCTCTCCGTGTTAAAAATTCGGACAGTCTCCATTGGAAAACTTCAGTAAATGTCCCTCAATTGAGGATTTCATAAAAATCTAATTTCAATACGTCTTCCGCTAAGAATTGCCTCTTCTCTAAAATTCATTTCTCCGAAAATATCGTGGAATACTGGAATTTTGCAGTTGTAATCCCCCGAGACCTTCAAAATTATTGGATATTTCTCGAAAGCTTCGTTTTAAACAAATGGAGGTGTCAAGTTTTGCAGAATAAATCTTTTTTTTGTAAAATTGACACACTCACTTATTTGCAGTGAAGCTTTAGGGAAGTACCCGATAATTTTGAAGATCTTGGCGTATTACTACTGATCATTTCCCCCATCACCCTTTCCAACAATAGAATTGTGGCACTCGACGTTCTGTGGATCAATTAGAAAAGCATTATATCGAGAATTTTTTCCATTCGACTGTTATTTTATATAGTCAATACGGTATTCAACTGATAATTTTTGATAATTGCGCTGGTAATTGTTCATATTAATAAATATATAAAAAACAAAAGAGTTCCTGGTCTTGTGAGCCTCTCGTTGGAACTGACAGATACATTTTGTCGCATAGTGCAATTCTCTTGGCCGAAATTTGGATGAAAAATTCTTTTCCGAATACGACTCGAGCTTCAAAATTGATCAAGTATTTTCCTCAAGGTTCCCTACATACAAACGAACTTGTCAAGTTTTTCAGAAAAAATCGCTCGTGCTTCGCAGTCGTGATTTTTTAACCTGAAAAATTGGACTCCTGCGTTTGTTTGCAACGAACCTATCGGGAAATACCTGATAATTTTGAAGCTCTTGTGGTATTACATACGATGATTTCTTCCTTCAATTCTGATTTCGGCCGATCAGAGTGCGGGTTTTTGGGATTAGGCGACACGTTCCATCAAAATGTGGAGAATAGCTATCAAATTCGTTGAAAACAATTGACAAACTATATTAAAATTATCAGTCTGATAATTTCCTTGATTACTTGAAATCAGGTTCGAGGAAATTATCAGTTATAATATCACAAGAGCTTCAAAATGATTGGGTATTTCCCGATAGCTTTGTTGCAAACAAATGAGGATGTCAAATTTTGCAGGTCAAAAAATATTTTTCTGTAAAACTGGGCAAGATTTGTTTGCAGGGGAGCTTTAGGGAAATATTCGATGAATTTTGAAGCTCGAGGGGTATTTGTCGGATTATTTTTCCGAATCGGATTTTGGCCAGTCAAAGTGCGGTAGACAATACCAGGAGGTGAATTAGGGAAGATTTGAATAAATTATGTTAATAGAATAATCCGATTTCTGTAGAATGTTAAATACAAGATTGGATCTGAAATGAGACGAAAAAATGGAGAGCTACTGCGAAATATTCAAAAGCTAGAAAAATAATCATGAATATTTTCAAAGGATTCTATAAACATCAACTGACTTCATAATATAGTGAATTCGTATTTAAGTGCAAGCAAACACCTGGATATCGTTTCATGCAGGCAACACTGATATATTTAAGCATTTTAAGTAATCAAATGTGTCAATCAAATTGCGTCGGAGAAAGTTGAAAAATTCATAGACAACCATCGTCTATGAATTTACATTTAGATAATAACTGCCCTTATCGGAAAGCTGAGAATTACTTTTTTTCGAATTTTTTCGTCTTATAAACACAGTATTTGATGCCAAGCTAAAGTTAGGGTGGAGTGGGGAGGTTGTAAATGACTGTCTGATAGCAAGATTCAATGAACACGATTTAATTAAAATCTCATTTATTCGTGGACTCAAGCCTCTTGTTGTGATTCTTTTTATAAGAGGTTGATTGCACTTGATATTAATTCTTTAAATTTCCTCAAAGCATATTAGTGAATTGAATTGATAATGTACTGATAATTCACTGGATAATTGCCTTTGATAATTGTCCAGGTTGATATACTAACTGTACACATTAAACCTCTCCTCTAAAATATGTTGATTCTATAATGCTGATGGTCTACTGGTTTTCGGAGTTTTCGCGATTGTCGGACCATTAAACCGAAGGTTTCCCGATGATGCTCGAGCATTATCGATAGGGCGGACTAATCAACTGATAGATATTACGCTGCGCTTCGAACATGGAAAATGGGAAATTTTTCCAAATTTTCGATTTTTTCTTCCTTTGGCGTCAAATCTGTTCCTGGTAAAGTTCTGAATATGGGAAAATTTATCTTGATTTCAAATAATGTCGAATTATCCATCAAAACTGGTCGTTATTTTTAACAATAGCACTTTTCCAGTCATTTCATAAATCTCCTTCCAAAACCTTCATTCATTCAAATTCTTTCAATTTTTTTCAATACTTTCGAAAGGTTGAAAATGGAAAATCCAGTTTAGAGCTTCGAAGTTTAAATAATGAAATCGCTGTAAAATGTTCGGTAATCTAGGGTCAGAAGGAATTCTGACCTTCAACTATAATCATTGAAAAGGATTTCAACGAAAAAAAAACAAAGTTAGAGGATATCCTTGATTCATAATTTAATGTTGATTTTGCATAATGGTGACTTTGAGTGGAATCCTATAAAAAATAGACCACCGAAAAACTAAATCAAGAGAAATTTTCAAGTTCGGTGGATTTTAGCACGTTTTGGGTAGACATCGTCTATTCTCACACATGGTAAACTGTCCATGGTGGTTACTGGAGGTAGACACGCACAGCCGCAATCACCAGTTTATCGACTGGTGAACGTATACCTTGCGAGAATTCCTTCTGCAGGGCTGCGAAGATAGCCTTCTGCTGACAAATGGCTGACAATATGCCGGCAATGCAGACAATTATTGCTGATAAATTACCAGGGAATTACTGACGCAATTAGATGGTGAAATACCGACAATTTCAAGCCGGCAAATTGCTATCAATTTTTAGGCAATTGTTTTTGTTAATTGATGGCAGAACGTTTGTTTGTTGGGTACAGATTGACAGCGAAATTCCGCCAGATTGCAGTAGGAACTGGCTGGAATTCTTCGCGTTTAGAGTACCCAAAAAACCGTAAATTTCAACTAATATATGATTAAGGATCCTTATCCTCTATCATACCTTAATTTCAACCAATCAGAGCCATGCACACTGATCGGTAATGCAGAGATTCTCGATACGTGGCTGTGATTGGTTGAAATGTAAGGCTGTTAAAGAATTATAAACGCGAAGAATTCCAGTCCAGATATGCTAAAGTCTAAGGAACTGTACAAAAAATTCATTTTAGTCTTAATTCCATCTCCAAAAAACTGTTTTTATTATTATTCTTTTTGAATTTCAATTCGTTCATAAGATGAAAAATTAGTCTTATGCACGTCAATAATTGATAATCAATTCGAGAGTTGAAACCAGGGAGACTAATAACATTATTTACAATAAATGCCGCTGTTGCAATCATGTTGATGATCATTTTTGTTCTTTTGTCCTTACAATAATCTTAAAATATTTTCCCTTAATACTAACAAACAGTCTTCTTGTTACAAATACGTTTTCAGTGAAATAGAAAAAGGTTCAGTGTATATAAAATTAGAATGCCTCAGGATCACCCGGTATTACATCTGCAACAATTTCGTCATCAGTACTGTTACTATACACATGAGCAATGTCCACATCTACTTGTACATTAATTTTTTCACAGCTTTTTTCGTCATCACTTTTATTGAGAGTGAATCTCCTTAAATCAACTTCCGAAGAAACTGGTATGATTTCCTTCTTCAAGTAACTCTTGTTATCCGTTTGCAGTTCTCGTTCGGGATTAGATGAAATAATTTCTTCCAGCAGATCTTCACGTTTACAGCATTGGGACTGGATACAGAGTCTCCCGCGGCAGCGGATGAGACAGTCCGTTTTGTCAACATTCGACTGTACATCATCAAACAATTTCAATGTAGTGTTATCTAGATTATCGTCAAAGTTAAAATAACGCATATAGTTTCATCTTGAATTACCTTATGGAATTCCGGCTGTATCGTCACTTGTGTTATTCCCATCTCAACGAAAAACGCTGTTACTTGGTCAGTAATTGTTGCGTAAACCTAGAGGCAAATGTATTACTTTAGTGAAAAAATCAAATTTAAGGGGGACAAAGGGAAGAGGGATTTTTAGGCAATATTTTGTCATTTTAGATCTATTCAAAATTATAATATTCGTCACAGGCAATTGTATTCACAAACCTCTTCGTTCTGGAAGTCAGTTGATTATGAGATTTTTTTGCTTGAATCTCAATTACTTTTAAGAGAAATGTTCATATTTTTGTTACTGCTGCTACGTTCACGTCATGCCGAAAGAAGCCTTTTTGCACGCAAAATAGTATATTTTGTCATTAGGCCGAAAAAAGTCTTTTATGATACAAGGGAAGAAAAGAGCACTTTTTTGAACACGTCTTTTTCTCACCAGTGTCATAAAATATCGTATGATAGATATAAAAAAATGTATTACCTCAACAACTACTTTTTCTCACTTGTATCGTAATATACAATTTTGACAATGCCGCTACGTTCACCTCCTGCCGAAAAGTGCCTTTTCGTTTACTAGTAAATGAAAAGTAAGCGAAAAGGCTTTTGGTTAGTTGTAAACGAAAAAGGCACATTTCGACCACTCGCTGAACGTAACATCATTGTCAAATAGTGCATTACATGTCCGAGCCTTGGAAAACAGATCACCGTCCCCCACGTGCAAGATTGCCTTCCGAGCCGAAGGCTGCGCGCCAAGAAATTGGCGTTTTTCAGGTCCCTCGACACGAAAAAATATTGATCGATACACGTAAGACGGGAATTTTCAGCTCGTGTGATTGGTGCGCACTTTGCGGGAGGGAAATCTGACTTTGCGCCTACACCGTAATGGAAAATAACGTCCCGATCCTGGGAAGTAAAATAAAGGAGCCTCACCCACGTTGTACCACGTAATTCTGCACGTGGGCACAACTTCTTTATTTTCATTCCCTCGGTAGGGAATATACTATCAAGGCCCGGGGGGTGATCTTTCAAACGTGATCTTGGTTGCTTTTTTTATTTTGATAATCTGAAATGAGCTAATTGCGATTCAGTTTTACGTAGCAAAAAAACGTTGATTAAATGCTGAACATTTTCAAAGAGCGTTTTTGAATAATATTAGGAATTAAACCCAATAGGGAGGAAATTGCAAATTAATAATTTAATGTATCTAATGACTGTCGACATTTGTCACAGTAGACAATGGCTGTCGGATCGTTAGTTACCATGATGAATTATCCATTCACTATTTTCTCTTTATCGGACTTATTTTTTAATCTTTATTAAAAACGCTCTTTGACAATGTTCAGTTTTTTTCTACTTTTTTGATTGTACATGTACACTCATAATTTTTAGGGACTCTTACGTGATGCCAAATCCAGTGGAAATTGTGATATATTTTAGATTATGAAGATGGAAAAACAATCGAGATAACGTCTGAAAGATAATCCCCCCGGGCCTTAATATTAAAGAATCGGAAGATTGATGGTCATCCCTGGTATAGAATTTTCTAGTGAATGCGTTTGATTTTTCAATGAAATTTTTTCGTGAATGGAAGGTTTTCTTCAAATTTTCTCACCTTTGGATTTAAAAATGTAATATGAACAGTGGAAACGACTTTGGTTCCAGCAAGATGCCAGACATGAAAGTCATGGACATTCACAATCCCCGGGAATGCAGCGAGCAGTTCTTTCTGCAAAGAGTCAATGTTTATGTGATTTGGAATTGTCTGCAAGAGTATCATACAAGAGTCCCTCACTGTAACAAAAAAAAAAGTGGAGAAGGAAAAAATTAGAAGCGAAACACATTCTTCGCCTTTTACAACCAAGTAAACAAAGTAATTATTATAATAAACTTACAGTAGGGGTAACTGAGTGTGAACAAGAAAACCGCTGAGATAATGGCAATAGCTGGATCGAAATATTTCGAAATATCGTGCTCACTCGGTTTTCCCGGTGTCGTTGTACTTTCCTCGTACGTGAAGTGCACGAGAACTGAAGCCACAACAACGAGAACACATGGAAAAACATCTCGAGTGATTTCCATCAGTCTTCTACTCTTGGGCATTGCGATTGGACTTCTTCTGGTGGGAGTTAGCTTTTGTTCGCCATCAGCTACATCTCTGGAATAATTATTCATTGCAATCAATTGATGGAATAAATAACGAAAGACGTATAGAAAACTTGGTAGCAAACCTAGTTTATTTGCTAGAAAATTCAATTAGCTTCGCATTGGAATTTTGTTAGAATTTTACGAATTCTATTGAAAATTATGCAATTTTTTTTAGAAATTTCGGATAGATTTTCGATAGGAACTTAATATATATTGACCTGTCTATATCAGTCTATAACAGCTTTAATTGCAATTCTAGTGAAATTCTTGGACATGAATTTTTTCAAATTTTCTTCGTGGATTTTGTAACGAGTAACAAAGAAATACAGCGGAAAAAACTTGGCAAATTCATGTCCAAAAATTTCAGTAGAAAAAAATCTCCAAGAAATCAATTCTTATAGAAAAATCAGAATTTGTCGAGTTTTTTCTATTAAATATCTGTCAGAAATTCGAACGGAAAATTTACGAAATTTTCGAAGTAAATTGAAAAAGAAAACCAACAGAATTTTAATGGAACTTATACCAAGTTCCAATAGAAATTCAATAGAATTTCTCTGCGAAAGCCCTGGGTATTTCTATCGAATTTTTTTTAAAGTGCAATTTCTCTTATTTGTCGATAAGCAATGATTATTGTATTCATACCTTTGAAGGACAACACTTCCATCTTTAGTGACATGCAGATAGAGGCTCTGGTTGAAAGTATATCCCCCAATGATGAGATAGCAAAACAGATTGAGGACAATCCCACTAACGCCGATTCCCATTACAATCAGAGGTAAATGCATTTGATCGAGATGGCCTATATGACTGAGTGTTAGCACTGCTTCTAGGAGAAGTGTGAAACAGAAGGATGCCAGAAATACACCGCATACCAGCATCGTAAGAATATCAATTCTCGCCCAGCCAAATGTGTTCTTCATTCTATTGTCAGGGCTCACTTGCTGCAGTGGACACATATTATGAGAATTTTGTTGATTATGAAACATGATACATTACCTCGTAATTATCGTAGAACTGAGTGGGTTCAGATCATTTCACCAAGAGATGATTTTTATAATCGATACAAGTCAATGAACTATATTTCAACAGTGGAGCAGTAAAACGTTTTAAGTTGACTTAGCTCTTATCTGAATTTTCGAGGAACATCTCCGAACCTGAGGGAAATAACGCGATTTTTGTAATAACTTTTTTTGTAAAGCGAATTGAGAGCTACAAAAAAGGTTTTAGCAAAAATGTTGCCATCTCTCTTAAATTCTGAGATACTCATAGAAAACTGGCCAATAGTTGACACTCCGTTGGTCGCGCTATGAGCGTCGTGCCGCACTTTTCCGATTTTTAAATTACGCTGCAGTGAAGCCTCAGAAAAAAATTGAAAAAATTTGACATCTCAGAAAAACATGGCAACTTTGAGCTTGAATATATAATTAAGGGTAACACTGAACATAAAAAATCTCCCGGGACTTTTTTAAGCATACAATCGAGATCACTCTTGATTTTTTCAGATTTTTCCCAGATCTTTCAAATTTATCATTATGTCGATGCTAGTGCAGTGCGGCGCTTACGGCGCGATCAACGAGGTTCGTAACATTTGCATGACCAACGGAGTGTTAAAATTGATTTAAACTGTTTTACCACTTCATTACTGATTTCTTTTGACTCATTCTGAAGAACCTACTAATTTCTAATTGTGAGATATTCAAAGAATAATCTCCATACAATTTGGTAATTCGTGTTGCATTTCAAATATTCGTCATTCTATTGTCAGATCCCACTCGGTGTAATTAACAACGACTACGAATAACTTATTTCTATGAGTCCAAATATAACAAACAATATGATGAAATTAAAAATGAGATAAATGGTAGGAGTCCAGTTTAAGAATTACAAAGGCACGGCTCGGTCACTCGTTGAACGTAAGGTCACTGTCAAAAAATATTGTTCCACACATGTGAGACAGGAATTTTCAACTCGTGTGATTGGCATCCCTCGGCTTCGCCTCGGGCCGCCAACCAGTGATGGCCAATAATATTAGATTTTGACAATATTACGAGGGATCTCCTTATATTGTTCAAAGTTTAACTATGTTTAACAAATTTAAAATAGTATAAAATTTAGTAACTAAATTTTTTCGATTGATGATGAATAAAATGTTTGATAATATTGAAATGTAATTTTTAGTTAACAACCTAATTCTAAATTTAGGTACTTGATTTTCGATTATTCAAATAATCGTCAATCTTTCTACCTAAATTATTGGTTAATAAATTATTTCAACATTTGAATGTACAAATTGATGGTTAATTTAATATTTAAAATATTCAAGATTTATGTTAAAAATTGACAACTTCACATTTTAACGGTATATTATGATTGATGAATATGATTATCACTGCCACCAACTTTACACTCGTGAAAATTTCATCTCACTCGTATCAAAATAGACTATTCGTTTACTTGTAAACGAAAAAGGCACAGTTCGGTACTGCCAAAAAATCAGTAGCGAAGTGGTCAAACGGTTCAAGTCAATTTAGTCTTTAGTTGAATTTTCCAGGAATATTTCTGAATTTAAGGGAGATGGCGAAATTTTCATAATAACCTTTCGTGTAGAGCGAATTGAGTGCTATTGAAAAGGTTACAAGAAAAATTTTGCTATCTTCCTTAGATTTCGAGATATCCATTGAAAACTGGCCAATAAGCAAAATCGATTCAAACTGTTTGACCACTTCGCTACTGAAATATTGTTCGGCACATGTGAGACGTGAATTTTCAGCTCGTGTGATTGGCAACCCTCGGCTACGCCGCGGGCCACCAACTCCATACTCGTAAAAATTTCGTCTCACTCGTATCGAAATATATTATTTTATCATTCCGGCTATAAGGCAGTGCTTCACGGACGCACAGGGTCCGTGAAACTCTGCTTTACGGCCGGAATGACAAAAATATGATAGTGCAACACTGAAGATAAGTTTATAATGATTTGTCAAAAAACCGTTCTTAAAGGCAATACAATTTCCTAGAAAACGAATGTATTGACAAATGCTGCAAAACTTACTGCGTTAGAGAATCATCTTCACGCAATGTTTTCATTTATCTGTTCTTGATTTATCTATTTGATCAGTTATCAGTGAAGTGGTACAACAACAAGTGGATTTTCACCATCTTGACCCTATTATTACTCCAATGATCAGTAGTTCTACAAGAAAATGTCAACGAATATTTTTAGAAACGAATTTCGTGCACAGAAGTTATTTTTAAATTTTCTGCTAGAACCACTCGTGTCCAAGATGAATCGACAATTCGAAAATCTACTCATGATATCCTTTCAATTTCCTATTCAGTTATACCTTTGGATCAGTGGGTAATGACTTGGAGGATCCTTTGTCCTCACAAACCGCAAGAGTAGAGTTGCCCTTGGGACCGGCATTTTCTTCCGTTCGGCACCGCTCCCGACTTCCATACTAAACAAAAATCAAATGAACGAATTAATTAGAGTGAAAGTGCCGGAGGCCGCCGTAGCAAGCGCGAATCATGCAGCCTTGACTCACTCCCCGAATTAGTTCATTACCACTGTATTTACACAACATCAGTTCACTCACCTTCAGTGACACGATGCACCCGAGTAGAGCTACTATATTGCAGAGCATGTGGTAGGCATTCAGTAACAGAGTAAGCGAGTGTGTCACATGACTCGCTATTATCTCAACGATGAAAAAAGCAGTGGTGAAGAAGAGCACTAGATATAGTTGTACTGGTTGAAGTCGTCTGAACCACTCTTTAACAGCCATGATCCTGGATCGTTTTTTTCGGCTTTTCCTAGCTTGCTACTAATACTGGCACACACACGTCTATCTAGTTGCCTTGGGCTGCTGGTGGAACGACAAAATGAAAACTGTGGACTTCACCTCGCACTCTGGTGCCACAACCGTTGACCAGTCCACTGTGGTGTCTTGGAGGGACCTGAAATGAGAAGAAAGAATGTGATGTAAAAAGAAGTATAAATGAAAAAAATTTAAGAGGACCCATGCTGGTTGGATTTACATACGTGGGAGTCATTCATCTTCATGAACATCTATATTTATACTCTAAGCAGTCTACACGTGGCCTATCACTTCGTTTATTTACTTTATTTCTATTGCTGCGATAGTATAGAGCGGATTTGACGATTATGATGAATTATGGCTTCCTTAGGAGTAATCAACTACCTTGTAATTTCGAAATGTGTTGTACAGATACTCGGAGATTAATAAATTCTAGCATAACGAAATGTTTATTACTACTGCTAATACGGAGTTAAATTAATAACTTCCGGTTTAAATAGCAATCACTTCGCTTTCATCTCTTTGTTTAATTATCTTTCCCTCCTTATATTCTGACATTTGTTGATTGTATTTTTAATTGTCGGTACTTAATTGTTTTTATTTTTTGGACAAATCGTACGATTTGTCATTTCCATAGCCATTTATTAATAAAATGCCTGAACAGTTATCTTTTGATGTCGAGATGTATTTGACGGAATCTCCCATCAATTGAAAAACGCATTGTTAAAAGCTCTGATAGATAAACAATTTCATTGTTCAATGAATGTTTCGTTCACTCGTTCTCTCTTTATTCCTTTGTTTCGTTAATTTTGCTTCTCTATTCTGACGTTCGTTGATTCTTTTAACTGCATGATATTCTTGTTTTTATAAATACTTTATTATTCTGCTTTTCTGTAACTGTATATTAGTATAATACGAAGTGGAAGCTTACATGATCATCATATTATAGTAATTTATGACGCCAGGCCCTGAATTTCACACACCTTTTGTAGACATAATAAAATGAGAATGTGCCTGAATTTCAGACGAACAGGTGCTCGAACAGATTAATCCATGTTTGAAATTCAGACAAATTTTCATTTTATTCGGACGCCTTTTAGTGTCTGAAAAATGTCTACGAAAGGTTGTGAAATTTAGACATTCGTTTTTGCTGTGCTTCGCACTCAAGCAAGTCATACTTGTGCCAAAAAAATCATTGTTAACAATAATTAAAAAAGTATTTTTTTTTCAACTGGACCATATTCGCGAACTCTGCCACAAACGCATGCCCAATATCCAAACCCGTTACAAGTGCACGGAGAGAAATAGTCAACAAAAATTACGTATCTTTTCTGTAATTCCGGAGCGAAATGTGGTTGTAGTAAATTTTACGGAACTGTCACGGAATTTTTGCAGAGCGTTCCGTAATTTTTACCTGAATCTCGTGTGGAAAATTACGATACTGTCGCTTAAATTTTCTGAGTCGATTCCGTAATCGGTGAGTGAACTGTGAGTTCCGTAATTTTTACTGAACATTTCTCTCCCATATACCCACAAAAAACCCTTCTAGAAAACCTAACAGCCATTTGTACAGAAGAATACGGTAATGACAATTGGGGAGGCATAACTCACTCCCAATAACATCATCCCATTATAATAATTACAGCAATAGCTCTCGACTTCCTTAGCCATGACTACATCCCTCAAATTGTTTCACTCTCATTTCATCCATGATAATGTAAAACAACTTATCTGTCCTATTCAACCATACAATACTATCAGCTATCTGAAATAATTATTTATCTACTCTTTTGTGCTTTTTTTCTGTGTTCTATAACCGAAACATTGTATATCATATGTAAATACTAGACTGAAGGCCCTCGGGCGATGGCCCGTCACAAGCTTCTTGTGACAAATTCCGTTAAAAATAAAAAAATGACCATTTTTTTGTGCCAAACATGCGAAGCATGCAGCAAGCTTGAAAATTTTTATTACAAAAAAAGTTTTTTTTTTTTTTTTTAAAACTGTATTCTGTTTCTCTGTACAAGCAAGAAATGTAATTTCTAGCGCTACTTTTTCGTTATTTGATGCTCGCATACGCATTTTGCTTCCGGTAAATGCTCGTTTTATATGGAACGAGGGATAGTAGTTTGTCGTTTCGGTTATTCAATAATCATAGACGAAAAATGAATTTTTAAATAAAATAATAATAATGATATGATGGCAATCTTGTAACTTAGGGATAATATATTTCTTGATAAACTTCCCTCTATAAAAGATATTTTTATCATAAAAAGACACCGTATTGTATGAATGAACCGCCTCTTGAGCCGAATACACATAGAGAAATTTTCTAAAAAAATTCTAGTACGAGTACTGAAAAAAATCACAATCCACCTGCTGTGAAAAACTCTAGTGTTATTAAGGTAAATCTTCTTGGTATTTCTGATAAAATTTCTGGGGATTTCGGTGAAATTTTCACAGAAATACGAGGAAAAATTCACGTTTTCCCCAATAAAATTTCTAGGGCCGCACTGGAATTTTTTCCTGGTCATCACTTTGCACCTCTTTTCCCGTACTAGCACTCGAGTTTTTCTATAAAAATTGTTCTCCGTGTATTTGGTTGTTGAAAGCAGAGCAATTATTAGCGTTTGAGACTTTCAAAATGGAGCCAAACAAGTATTTTTTTGGTAATTTTCATCTAACGGATTTTGTCGGCCAAAAAGGCTTGTTTGACATCTTGTTCGTTTTTCTCTCAGTGTACATCGCGATTTTCGAGCCCAGTGATATAAAATATTGTATGTCACGCAGCGATAAAAATATTGCATGATTCATGTGATCATAATCCTCGCCTTCGCCTCGGATTATAAAATCACGTTCGTCAGATAATACCTTTATCGCCTGATGATACAATATACTATTTTGTCATTCCGGCCATAAGGCCGCTGCCTACGACCGTTGTGACAAAATAGTATATTATGTCATCAGGCGATAAAAGTATTATCTGGCGAATGTGGCTTTATAATCTGAGCCGATGGCGAGCTTGCTTCGCTCGGTTAGATCGCGGTTTACGGCCCTTTTGACGAAAAATTGCATTCATCACACGGTCCAAAAGTATTTTCTGACGAATGCGGCTTTATAGGCCGAGCCGACGGAAATTTTCAAAGCATGTAATTGTCACCTTCACACTCGTGAAATTTCCGTCTCATTCGTATCGAAATACTATTTTGCCAAATATCCATTTATTTGAGAGAAGTTTTTATTTTATTTTTTAAAAATAAATGTTTCTCTCAAGAAAATTAATATTCGGCAAAAATAATTTTTCTTTCTCAATGCGGCTTATTGGACCGAGTGACATCAAATCATATTTTGGTATGACTAATTCATTATTTTTTCAAGTTAACGGATATCGCATACGAACCAAAATATCAGGAAAACCCCGCACATTCGCTAGAAAATCATTTTGGATCAGAAAATTTCCGCTGCAGTTTTTCTCGTTAAAAAGGTCAACCAAAAAATTAGGGAATTTCCACGGAAAAATTTCTATAAAAGCGATCTGATGAGAAACAATTGTATTGAAAAATTAAATTCTATCAATTTTTTCTATAAAATATTTCCTATTGAACATTTCTCAAAAAAACATGCAGAAAAGCTGCGAAAGTTTCCAATGCAGTATGAAATTATTCCATATGTATGATTTGCTATATTTAAAATTTCATATTGACGAATTAATGCATTCCATAAGGTCGAAAATACTCGTGAATATAAACCTGAATAATCAATTTACTATTTTAATCAACCTATTGCTCACTGTTTCCGTTTGCATCCCTTTCAGACGCGTTTTTCATCGTTTTCATGTTTGCATTCTTGTACAGAATTTATTATTTTTCTCCTCTATAATTATGTCAATGGAAAACATAAAGTCACAATTTACTCGCATACATTACCTTATGAAAATCCTGGACACAGGACATTAGAATTCAATAGATTACACAACTGATTAATGGACGCATGTCTGCTAAATATATTCGTAATTTATAATTTCAAATGAGTACTGAAAAAATAGAGAGGATTGATGCCACGTGTACGTCCGGTTGTCAACTGCCGAACTTGGTTACTGGGTTCATTCTTACGATTTGATGAGGGGACGCGTCTAGGGAGATAGTTACGGTGAGAAGGTCAATTACTGAAGTGAAAGATAAATTGTTTGTCGACCCTGTGAGTAATACAGAAGTTTGCATTGTTTCCGTAAAAAAGAGGAGGGAAACAATCACTGAGACTGGTAGTGAGTCACATGTGAAGCGAAGAGCATTTTGAGGATGACAAGGGCTAAATTGGAATGACCTAGAGATTAGAGGTGAGATAATACCGACGTCGGTGGCCGAGTGGATTAGACGCAAGTCTAGTGTGCGAAAGGTTGTGAGTTCGATTCCCCGTGGAACCGAATTTTTCAACGGAAGGCTCCGGCGAGCGGGAGGTTGCTAATAGAGGAACCGCCTGTACCGGCATGGGTTTTTTCTGTGGTTTCCCCATGCTACTTCTATGTTCTATAGAAGTGCGAATGCGGTACAGTGTAGAATCCACAGCCGCATGCATAGGGTTGGATAGAGTGCCGAATGGGACACGAAAAAGGGACTCCGAGGCCGTAAAAAAAAAAAAAAGAGGTGAGGTAATTTCGAGATCCAATCAGAACTTCCGACAGTCCTGAACATTTAATTGTATCAGAAGGAAATTATTTACAATAAATCCATTTTCTTTGCACAGAGTATTTCTAATTGATAAGGGATTATCTATTCTTCTTATCTTATGATTAAAGATGATGGAAATAGTGAACCTCAATGAGGGGGAGATATATAGCTCAAATACCGCGAAACATGATGATAAAAGTAAAAAAAATGCTTCATTATTTCAGTAGCCAGTGACAGAAAACCAATTTTTGGTATGACTAATTCATTATTTTTTTAGATCACTGGATATCGCTGACGAAATAAAAATAATAGGAAAGCTCACACATTCGCTAGGAAATTCTTTTGGATCAGAAAATTCGAATGCGTCCTTGCCGATTCTATTGAAAAATTCTGCATTTTTATTACGCGTTTTTTAAAGCATATCTTAAGCATAGATTCAACTATTTTCAATTCTTTGTCAATTAAATTGCGT